TATATATATATATATATATTCTCTATATGCGCAGTACTTAGTGAAAGTGCTCAATATCAGTGATAGTGCTAATATATTCAGTTGTATGAATATGAGTTTGTGATCCCGGGTTTCACGCTTTTGAGATCATCAGACAAACTCGGTGAAACCCAGGGTCACAAACTCATATCCATCGAATTGAATATATATTTATATATATATATATATATATATATATATATATATATAGGGTGTTCCAAAAATACTTTTAGTAACTTTGGGGATAGATTCCTCAAACCAAAACAAGGACAAAATTGCATATAAATATATATCTGCAAATCCTTTGTTTTTGAGTTATTCAGTTCAAACCTTTCTGTAGATGCTGTTAAATGTACAATCCAAGATAAATCCTCAACCTGTAGTTTGTGGTACTACAGATCTTTTCCCAGCAATGCAACAGTTAACCACAACAAATTTTGGATGACTTGGCTGCCTTCGGTGTGGAAATGCAATCTGATACAGCTGTGCAGCCTAACATCTATTACCCTTTGTGCAGAGGTACGTAAAATTCATATCTCACAATATGAATATCCTGCCATTGTTAAACGGAATGTTTCTGAGTTAACTCACTACTATACACATTAAACGTTGAAGACAGATGAGCCACAAATATACACAAGTGACAAATGTAACCTAGTCTCCACGGCAACACAGCGTCAATTACCATAAACTTTCTTTAAACTTAATAAGTCAAAGAAAGTGTTTGTGGATATATGTTTATATGGATTTTTTTCTTGTTTTGGTGGGAGGGACCTACTCCCAAAGTTTGTAAAAATATTTTTCATACACTTGGTATGTATGTGTGTATTATATATATATATATATATATATATATATATATATATATATATATATATATATACACACAAAAAATTCTATGTGATGTATTTCGGCCTTTACAAGGATTTATAACTGAATATTTTATTAAGGCGATCATATATATGGAGGTTCATTTGCATTTCATTTCCCTCACTGCACACACACACACACATATATACAACTATGTGTAACAGCAAAATTGTCCAATTGCTAGATTTTGTTTTGAACTATCTTACTGGAATTCTCTGAGGTTTTTATAACACTATTGGACTCTACTTTGAATAATAAGAATGTATTTAGGTTTAAGTTGAAAGGATGATCCTTCTTGCTGTTGTGATCACCTGATCCAGTTTTCCTCTCTACTGTTCCCTCTTTTTTAAACTTATTCACTGTTCTCTTGATGGTTCTTGAAAGGACTTTAAGTTGGAAGCCAGTGTATGAATGTTAGTAGCATTACTGAAGGCCTGACTGATCTTATTCATGTAACCATTGCTCAGTTGGGAAGATATAGTAAGGCTGACACAAAACAATTTTAACCTGTTCTTTTTCTAACTGAATAACTCTAAGGGTTTTTCAATGATTCTTATAAAAAAATGGTGTCAAGAAGGCTAAATGTCTTATGAGAAAACATGGAAAAAAGAAACTCAATTAGTTTAGTGGTTTTTCAGATATTTTTTGTGGGATGGACAATTATCCTATGCAGTTACACCCAGTGTGTATGTGTGTGTGTGTGTGTGTGTATATATATATATATATATATATATATATATATATATATATATATATATATATATATATTGTTATCATTAAAATATTAATCTTAAGAAGTCCATTTTGAGAGCAAAAATGTATCACATGATTTTTCATTTTGTCATTCAATGACCCCTCTTTCTCTCTCTCTGTGTGTGTATATATATATATATATATATATATATATATATATATATATATATATATATAGGACATACCATCACTTCCTGGAGTAGACAGCTTACATGCTACTAATCCGATCAAAGTGTTATAAAAAGGCATTTAGCCACCCACAATTTACAACAACTCTTAAGGAAGGTTCTGTTAAACAAAATAGCATTTTATATAAGTTACATTATCAAAAACATCACATTGTGAGAGAGTCCCTTTATATAAAACATTTTGCACCCAGTGTAAATCTCAACTTAATCAGTAGTGAAAATGGTGTTTTGAAGAATTTTTAAATATAGAAAGATGTCTACTCAAATTCCCACCATGCTCAGCTGCTATTACTAGTATTCAAATAACAAAAAAAATACATCTCAAACAGTCAAACATGGAAAGAAATTGACAATACATAAAACAATTTAAAAATGGCTAAAGAAATGGTTGAAAGTGCTTGGGACAATGGACAATATGGATCATTTTTGCACTCCCTTACTCTCACCAAATGCAAAAATGTAAAATGTATATACACACATATACACAAACACTTAAGTCAACTTAGTAGATGAGATAATTATGATTTAGATAATTGTGTATTTCTTTCTTTTTATTTGCCATGTCCTTTCTGAACATAGGCAATCATGGCTCTCCACCTCCTTCTATCCCTTGCAACTCTCAACAAGTTCCTTCCCTCTGTTTCCTCTCCCAGAACATATTCTGAAGCCCGCCAGGTATGTCATGCATTGTGTTCCCTTGTCTCTCTTTCTCTCTATGAGTATCAGATTCTCCAGGCCCTCCTTCCTCATTATGTGTCCCAGAAACTTCAGCTGCCTCTTTCTGATGTCAAGTATAAGCCTCCTCCTTGTTTTCAGCCTAAGACCTCATTATTGCTCATATGCTCGGTCCATGATATCCTTAGCATCCTTCTGTAGAACCACATCTCCGTCACCTTGAATCTCTTCTTCATCTTTGAGGAAATCATTCAACATTTGCTGCCATTTAAAATGTTGGCTCATGAATACAATGGTATAGTAATTGTAATTTAATTCTTGGGCTGGGCAATGTGTACTTGTACTTGGGGTAAGCAATGACTGAGCAGTACTGAAAATAAGAACTAGATGAGATATCCCTAGACGTGGGTAGTAGAATGAAAATAGTTGAACCCCAGAGATTAAATTTTAATGTTGACAGCATTAATTCAAAAGAGGGCTCAATACCAAGAGTAGAGCAAAAATGATTTATTATAAGTTTGACATACAGACAAATACAACTTATTCAGTACAAAGATGCATTCTTGTTTTGATGTGGCTGCATCTTGACTGGGGAGAACCAAATTTTGGTTCTCGCCAGTTGAGATGCAGACCACATTTTGCAAAAAGAATGCAGTCTTTGTTGAAAAAAGTTGTTTTTATCCGTTTGGAAAAATTATAATAAATAATTATACATATAAAGCCCACAAAAGATGTGAATACTTGTCTTTATTGTAATAATACAGTACTTAGAAGGAGACTTGTTGAGAACACCAATTATTTTAAGTAACCTCCTACAATCCAAAATATGTTTTGGCTCCAAATAAGTCACAAGGGTTTGATAAACCATAAAAACGAATCAGTCAGTCAACACTCTTCATAGATTTACTTCTAATGTAATTGGAAGCATAGGAGTCTGCTGTAGTTGTTTGTTATAGAAAATGCATGTTGAGTAAGAAAATGAGAAGAGAAACAGAAATTAAGCATTTATGTTTTCTAGATGTAATAATGTATGATTACAACAAGAATAAGTTATTTTAAATGTTTCTCATAAAAACAAGTAATACTACTGCCCCTTTGGTAATTGGTGGGGTTTCTGTGTAGGGGGTGGATGAAATTAAGTTTTTGGGCATCTGTATCACAGAGGATCTCTCCTAGATTTGTAATACTATTACAATAGTCAAAAAGAGGTGGAGCAGAAACTCTATTATATATTAAATATTTTACAGAGGGAGCTGACCTTAAGAAAACTGCACAATTATTTGATATGTCAGCTGTTTAGTAGTGAACAAGGGGGGTGTCTCCTAATGATTATAGATGTTGTCCAGAAAATGATCAGCTCCTTGCTGCAATCTTTGGAGGATATTTCTAATTTTTATTGTTGCAGCAGAGCAGAAAAGTAATGAAAGTCAGCACACATATATACACCTCAGGTACCACTTGATTGAACTGTTACTTTCAGGGTGGCATTTTAGTTCAATGTATTCCAGGACAAATCACTTGAGGAACAGTTTTTATCCTTGGGCACAGCATAAAATGAACACTGCCACATGTTGAGAATTTTTTTAATGTATCTTATTACTTTTCTTCATTCAATGCTGTGCATGATTTTGTTTTAATCTGTGTAATGACAAAAGTACGCAGATGTAGGTTTTAAGAAAGCTTTATTCAACTGAGAATACAAGGTTCACATATAGTGTCCTTTTATAGTCCCAGTAAACAGAAATAGGTCTCTCAAAGAGGAAAGTAACAAAACAAGAGGAGATCACTCTTTATTATTCATAACAATTTGTATTGTGTTTGTGCTTTTTTGTTGTGTGTATGTGGGTTGATGCAACTGAGGATTGCTGTTTGATTTCATTGTGCATTTCACAGTGACATGAATAAATAAATAAAAAAGTTAAAATTCATATGTTATATGTATTATAAAAATATAATTATATCAGTTCGTTAATAACAATTTTATTGTGAGAAAATTAACTTGCATAATAAAATACAGAGTCAAAATAACATGAAAATTGTAACTTTCAGGCAAATCTGTGAGCTGGGAAAAAATAAAACACTAGCACGTAATGCGCGATGTTTGAAGGGAAAGTGACTTACAAAGTTTAAATTATGGTGATTGCTACACTGCAGTGTTAAGTTGTTTGGCTAGTCAGATACACATTGCCTAGGGCCATTTAAAATTTTAAATGCTTCTTTATTTAGTGTATGTTTATTTTTTACTGTTACTTCTAAATATATTTATCAATGCACAAAATAGTATGAATATACATACACATATTTGGGATGTGCCTCGATCAAAAAAAAAAGGTTAAAATAAATCAATTTTATATTACCCAGTAATACACTGAAAAAAAGGACAATATATATATATATATATATATATATATATATATATATATATATATATCAGTCTGTTTATATCTATCTAGATTTAGATTACAATATTTCTATATTTTATTATCTCTATCTTAGTAAACACATATCTATCTCACTCCATTCATATCTATCCATCTCACTCCATTCATATCTATCTATCTATCTATCTATCTATCTCAGTCCATTCATATTTATTTCAGTCCATTCATATCTATCTAGCTATCTAGCTATCTAGCTAACTAGCTAGCTAGCTATCTCTCTATTTTAGTAAACACATATCTATCAATCTCACTCCATTCATATCTTATCTATCTCAGTCTGTTTATATCTAGCTAGCTAGCTTTCTATCTTAGTAAACACATATCTATCTCACTTCATTCATATCTATTTATCTCTTTCTTTCAATGAGAGACATTTACACCAATTTACCATTTGTTGTATTTTTATGTGAATACAATTGTTTATTTCTTAAACTTCCATTGTTTCTTCTTTGTTCTGCCACCATATGCTTAATATAACATCATGATATCCATTAAAAATTCAAACAAGAATTAAAAAATGACATATACATGTGAGAAATCATTTATCCACTTCCTGTTAACTTCCCAGCTAACTTATTTGGAGAGTCAATCATCTGAGGGCAAAACAGGATTTTTTTAACCATGCTATGTTCAATTTATTTATTTATTTTTGACATTCTAGTCTATTTTGGGACTTTCAGGGTAGAAGTAGTAATAAACTATCTCCAGAGTGATGGAATAGGACAGCCATTTGCCTTTCTCAAATAGTGGCAGAATAAAGAAGTGTTAAGAAATACGATGCCCTTTACATTAAAATTGAGATAAAAAGGGGAATTAATTTAAAAGAAATTTTAACTAAAATTGAAATTTAAACTATCTAAACAGCACAACCCATAGATGAGTAGAATTATTATAAGTTATATTTTCCAGTGTACATGAATTTTGTTTGGTTGTAACTCCCTATCCTCTAGCTATGCATTAAGTAGCAGAGCAGACTGATCTCTCTAGCTATGACTGGCAACTAGTATAGGAATTGGTAGAAATATATATTTGAACTGTAACTAATATCTGCTCAGCATAGTTGCAATATAAAATATTGCTTGGCTCTGATGGTGTTGAAGTGAGCCTGGGCAGTTCTGATGAGTTGTGATAATAATAACTTTTTTCTGAAAGAATATCTTATATAACATTTTACATAAAAATTCAAACAGCTACAAAAATATTGGAAAAAAGACTAAAGTTGAACAAAGTTCTATTTGGCAAAATATGACTTTTTTTAACATTGCAAACTCAATTTATAATTAAATCGATTTTATTAAGTAAAAAATAATTAAAACAATTTTAAAATATACTTACTATTTTGAAAGAAATAAAACTTTCTTTGAAGAGATGAACACATTTTTCAATGACAACATATTTATTCACACTATTTACATCATTCAGTCTCATCTTTGTTGCCATATTCATGTGTCCTTGGCCCAATTGATAAAAGCAGTGACTTGATGGAAAGAGTTGTGAGTTCAATACCTGGTAACTGCAGAGAGAACCTTGGAGAGTTGAGTTAAAAGGACATAACTGAGACATCTGGAAGAGGCATGGTATGGCATGTGAAACTAGAACAATCTACCCTGGTGGACAAAATAAAGGGATCAATTTGAAATTCCAATCAAAGAAGACCAGAGTGTGCAAAGGTCAAAATACAATATATATATATAAAACAATTTATATATATATATATATATATATATATATATATATATATATATATATATATATATATATGTGTGTGTGTGTGTGTGTGTGTGTGTGTAAATATATAGAAAATAGGAAAGAACAGTGTTAGGAGTTAAATAATCCAAAGTTCTTTAGTATTTTTGTTATAGTTTTTAAAAAATAGTGACACTTGATACAAAAGTAGAGCATAAATATGCTTATAAAACGTTCGTTTAAATTTCAGGAATTAGTTATTCCAAAAAATTTCATTTGAAGATGGAACAGAGCTTGGTACTTTAATTCAATTTAATTCAAATAATTGTATTGAAATTTTCGGCTCTTGTTTTGAAACATGATTCTACTAGAAATAATAAACTGTAGTGATTTTGGAATCATATTTTTAAATAAATAATTATATATATATATATATATATATATATATATATATATATATATATATATATATATATATATATTATACACTGTTACATTAGAACATGTAAGTTACTACTACAAAATTGTACATTTTGTTTTGACGTCTAATAAATGTCTCATCAGGTAGTTAACAATTATGGTAACCATCATTGTTCTTTTTGGATTTGTAGGTCTGATGAATTGGATCATGACTATGATTCCAATGTAATAATTTATAACCATGGAATATTAGTGTTTGAGCCTTTTATATATATATATATATATATATATATATATATATATATTATATATATATATATATATATATATATATATATATATATATAATATTATATATTATATATTAAATATATATATATAAATATAAAAGAACTCAAACACTAATATGTAAAATAATAAATGCCAACCTTTTCATTGCCTGAGGAAACTAAAGAATTATATCATTGTTAAGTTCAAATTATAGCAATAACAATGAATAAAAGAGAGCAACCTGCCATATTGTCTTCCAGTAGTCACTTCCTCTTAGGGAATGATTATTGTCTGTATGGATTTCTGGTGGGGGAGTCATTATTATCTATCTTCTTCCCCATTGCATTCATCAAATAATGTGAGATGGATATATTGTGAGAAGTGTTATGTATCCAGGAGCAGTTAGTCAATGTCTCAGACATTAGGGTTGAACTTGGACGTTAACTTCTGTATACATGGCAACCTTCTAAGTTGAATAGGGGTCGGTGGTGCTGTTATATGTGCACAATTCTGAGTTGTGGCTGTGGGTGGTAGTGTATCTGGGGATTATGTCACAGAGTTGGGGCAATCTTGAGCTACTGGTTCATTTACCCACTCCTGTTAGTTGTCGGGTGTGAAGTGATGTTGATGGGGGTGCAGCTTGTGTAATATCGCTGAATATGGGTTTGGGGTTGTTGATGAGTGGTGTTGGCATTGACCTGAGTTGACCCATCAATTTTGGGCATGTTGATTGCAGGGGTGGGATAGTTGGTGTTGACTGGCCCACTTGCTCAGAATGAACCAGATGGGTGCCTGTATATTGCCCCTGATATGCTGTGTTTTTGGCTTGGTATATGGATCATCCAGAATTTATGGGGGGGGGTTCTCTTTTAGGTTTAGCAGGTGGAGTTTCTTATCTCTTCTAGCCTGTGATGGCCTAGTTCCTTCAGGTGTGATTTATGGTCAACTGCTATGATCAGTTTATCACAACCAAGTATAAAGTGTTTCACTCTTTTGAGGGCATCAACCACAGCTATGATTTCTCCTTTAATGGGTGCATACCATGACTCAGCTGGGTGGATGAATCTACTCCCGGCAAGTGTGATCATCCATCACAAGGGTCAGCATATTGGTGGATTGCTGGAGCATGGGCAGTGCTTCTGTAGAACTCTAGACCATCTTTACTTCAATCAGTCATGAGACAGGTTTTGTGGCTCTTGACAAAAAATGACAATTCCCACCTTGATTTTGTCAGTGATGACCTTTTTGATTTGTCAAATAAGTTTTGCAGTTGGTTGTTCCAGTAGAACTGCTTGGACGGTTTGAGGAGTTCCCTCAATAGTTTCATTTCAACAGTCATAGATGTAAAGTTTCTGACCTGATTCATGAAGCCAAACCAGGACCAGATGTCCATAATATTTCTTGGTGTGGGAAAGTCTGTAATGGTTTGCAGAAATCTTTAACATGGTTTTATGCTGTTCATTGTGATTTCAAAGAAGGCGAATTTCATGGAGACTGCCCTGATGAGGATAATTCCATTGTGACTACAGAGGTCCAGCCACCATCTACAGATCTGAAAAAAACTGTCCTCCAGGCTGTCTGCCCACATGCATGTGTTGTTGATGCATTTGGTTTTGTTGGAGAAGTCAGAGACAATTTCATTGAATCACCTGGAATAGATGTCCTGTGACACTATATATCCATGTGGAGTTGTCCGGTATCGATAGCAGCCCAAGGGTGGGATAAAGGTGGCGTAATGGCAGTCACACTCTCTTATGGGGATGGAATGGTAGCCATCCCATGCATCTTGTTTTTCTATGAAGTCATCTTTTTGTAGGCAAGGGCAAGAGTGATCTGGTGCCCCAACAGGAACTGGTTCCAGGACTCCTAGAGGAACATCTCTGTATCTGTTTATATTTCTGAAATTAGGTATTATGTACATTATTTATATTATTCAGACTTTGTCGCCATATTTATTACAATGTTTTAGGCGTTGTACACTCTGGCCTTCTTCAGGTTGTTGGAATGTTCAACTGAACCCTTTATTTCGCTCACTGGGTAGACTGTTCTAGTTCCATGTGTGCCATGTTTAATGAATGTCAGTTATCAGTTATCTCCTGTTAATTTCCCTCTGAAAGTTCTCCACTGCCTTAACCGGGTATTGAACTCACAGTCTTTGGATCCTGGCAATGTCCTAGAGGTTTTAATCTGAATTGGTTAATTATTTTACCACACAGGGTCTTCTTTCAGACAAAAAAAATGTTGCTTTTTACTTCTCTAGGTCAACTGTTGATGTGTTTACTAAAGAGTAAATAAGAGTAGCTTTATATTAGAATAGTGAAGCATGGGATTTTGCTTTTGATATCTCAAAAGCATTTGACAGGGTTTGGCATGTTCATTTTAGGGTATTTCTGAACAAATTTTTCATTTGATTCAATCTCTTTATCAATAACATTCCTGATGTCATCAGTTCTCGAATTGGTATCTATGTTGATGACATAACTATTTACTCCTGTCTTAATAATAGGTCTGATTGGTATGATTAGGTCAAATTGGCAGCTGATTTTAAAAATGTCCTACAGTTAACTGTGAAGTGGAGGTTTGTTAATTTTAATGCCACCAAAATGAAATTGTTCTCTATTAATCATCTGAGAACCTTTTTTGTTATATGGCTCTTGCTAACCTTCAGGAGAGTGATTCTTTACACCTTCTTGGTTTAAAATTTTTCACTGACATGAAGAATCTTAAACATTTATAAATGTACCATTCATTCATGCATTGAATATTGCTGCAACATCTGGTCTTGTGTTTCTGATCTGTATTTAGTGCTTCTTCACAGAACCCAAATACTGACCTAACATCTCAGCTTTAGTCACTTTCCCACTGCTGTAACATAGTTTTTGTGTGCCTTTTCTATAAATATTTTCATAATAACTGTTCTGATGAACTTTCCTTTTTGGTACCTTGATTTTATGAATTTAAGTGCTGTACTAGATTGGCAATTAGGCCTCATCATTTTATAGTTCAAATGACTAGATGTAACCTTAAATTCTATGCACGTCTTGCTTATGTAACTTTTTTCCAGTCAACTTTGATCTTCAATCATTTAAATTCCTTGTCAGTTGTCATCTTCTTTTTCCTTAATTTGTTTTCTTTTATTGTCTTCTCTCCTTAATAATGTTTATTTTCCCCCAAATTCTTTCACACTCAGTAACCCCTTAAGTCTTACTTGGTATGAAATCCTTTAAAAAAACAAACAAAAAAACATTATTTTCATTTCTTGTTGACTATTTAAATTACTTCTCTTCCTTCAGTTTTCAACTCACCATGACTATTTTCTCTTTTTTGACTTCCTCATCATTCTATGAAATGGTTTTACCGTTCCTAAATCTATTTCTCCATCTTTTAGCCCTTAAAGAATTCTTCCTTTACATATTCTTTTTTTTTTTCTATTTTTTCTTTCTTTTTTATTCTTTCCTTTCTTTCTTTTATTTTTTCTTTCTTTTCTGATTTTTTTATTCTTTCCTTGTTTCTATTTGTATTCTTTCTTTCATTTTTTCTTTTCATGTTTTTTCTTTTTTTTTCTTGTTTTTTTCCTTTTTTATTCTTTCCTTGTTTCTTTTTGTATTCCTTCTTTCCATTATTTTTTATTTTATTTTTTTCTTATTTTTTCTTTATAACTTTAAATGCTTTTTTTCTGCGACCTAACCTTTTCTTATTTTTATATAATACATTATTTTTACTCTCTTGTATTTCTTCTTTTCCCATTCTTTTCTGGATTTCCCTTTTTTTCTTTCTTCTATGCTGTCCTCAGAAACCATTTTTTTTATTTTCCTTTCTTACAAATACAAATTCATATTTATTTTATTTTTGCCTCATTGTCTTGAGCATTTTTTATTTTATTTTTTGTTCTTTTGTATTTTTAAGTTATTGCTTTTCATTTTTTTATTAATTTTTTTATGTTCCTCAATTCTTTCTATTATTCTTTGGTAAATATTTTAAGTCTTAATTTTTTGAATTTCAGTTTTCTGTTGATATCCCGTTTTTTCTTCCTTCAAAATTGTTATTTTCTTTTCCTTTCACACTTTTTTTTTCATTATTTCCTTTTTTCAATTTTATTTCTTCAGTTTTTCTTTTTTTACATTATTTAGTCCTCATATCATTTTTAATTTTATTTTTTTCTTTCCATTCTGAAAAACTATTCCAGCGTTTTTCTTTTCTTTCATCTTTTCTCTTTTATTCAATTCTTTTATATTTTCGCTTTGTCCTTCTGTTTATCCTAATTTTTTCCCCTCATCTTTGAGAATAATACTACACAATCACATATAGTAACTCCACTTATTTTTTCATCTCGACACATAACCAAGCTCATATATGCAAAGTACCAAGAACAGGTTTGAACCTGTAAATTCTTTGGAACCTATACCTCTGATAAAACAGTCAGGCTCCATTTAATCTGAACCTTATAATGCAACCATAACATCAGCAAAGCTGACCATGACGGTTGTGTGCACATGTCGGAAATATTAGGACCAGTTTTATTGTTCTTGGCTATCAGTTTATAGTTACCATTCAGGGCTGATATGAATGGTCACTCAGCACTTCTACGTGCAACCGTGATGTCTCTTGTTTTGCAAACAATGACATTGTTGACCATAATGGACAGTAAAAGTGAAGGAGTGTAAAGTTGCAACAGGTGGTATAGTCAGGCTGTCACCTTACAGCAGGACTAGTATATTTGTGTATGCATGTGCCTTTGTACACATCCCCATATATACATACATATATATGGTAGTTCTGAAAAGTTCTAATTCCAACCAATTTCCCAAAATCTACAAAAATGAACAAACATCAGTGTTGTTTTTTTTAAAAGGTTTTAAAGTCAGACCAAGAATTTTTCAGTTGCTCTCTTTGTTTACTTTGTTGTATGCGTTTATAGAAGTTATCATTAACATCAGTTTTTGTGTATTAATAAATGATGAAAGATAACTTTAAAACCTAGGGTATGCAGTCCATTATGACCATTAATGGCTACAAAAGAAATCTGAGAGAATAATGACATTTTTTTTTAATTCAGTATCACCCCATGCAAGGTAGTAAAGCCACTAAGACACAAGGGATTAATGGGTGTGGAAGAATTAGGAACAGAAACTGTGGCAGAATATAACTGTATTAATTTACAGAGTGGGGGGAGAGAAGATGAAGTCTTTGACTGTTTGTTTTGATGTCCAAACTTGTTAACACATAGAACTTAAAATTGCTCCTCTTCTCATTGATGCTCTATTTTTATAGTGAAGACAGATACCATTAGACACTTAAACTTAATTCACATTTAAAATCAGTTCAAGTTATTGGAACACACTTTATATGAATATGTGTGTGTATCTCTTTCACTATATATATCAGCTGTCAATATACCACATAACACCATAGAGCGCTTAGCATTGGAGCGGGTAGAGTGGAGATCAACGTGTTTAAGTGAACTCAGCAGTTTTCAATTTGCTTGTCTGAATCATCTTCAAGAAGCAAGAGCAAGAACTAAAAGGTCAGCCAATCTAACAGTGATCTCATCTCACAATCCTCACTCTTACTCCATATGTTGCCTTTTTTGTAAATCACTAGCAGGTCTTAAATGCCACTTAAGATTATGGCACAAAATTTCATAACTGAATCAACTAAACTGTCAGATCCTCATATATCAAAACTGACGAGAGAGTCCATTATTATATGAATATGATATGAAGAGGAATCTTCCTTAGAAACATCAAAGAAATACAGTCAACCTGAAATTAAATTATCTTTTAGAAATAATTTAAAATAGTTAACCTTACCATCAATGCTTTTTTGCATTGGATTGAACACCAACTACAAGTCAGAAATAATATATATATATATATATATATATATATATATATATATATTATAAATTAATTGATTTAAAATATGTTTTTTTTCACTTACACAGTTCTAATCATGTTTCAAAAATGGAAGCTAAAAGCCACGAATTTAATTTTGTGATTAAATTAAAGACATTAGTTCCATTTCATCCTCAAGCGAATTTTGGAGTAACTTTTTAAAATTACTGGGTTTTAAATACACAGCTAAAACAAAATTCATGTTTCCAAGGTTACAGATAAATCTATTTTTCTAGACAGCGGTGGCTGGGTTTTCAATATGTCTATAATTTAATGTATCAGTTATTGCTACGTTTGGGACGTAGGAAGGGATGCATTTTTCAATGAAATCTAACTTCCGTTAAAGCCTGTCGTCTCGATTTTTTAAAATTATATTGTTAACGGCTAAAATTCTTACGGCCTATTTTTTTTTTTTTTCCATATATTTAAAGTATATTACGATTTTTTAAAATTTTATATTTAAATATTACTAAAGTAAAATTTTTCATTACTCCGATTTAGTAGACTTTATTTATTTATTTAATTACAAATTAAAAGAAGGTTAGGTTAGAATTCATTTTAATTAACTACAGTTTTAATTACAACTTTAAAATATTTTCATTATTAGTTTTTATAGTGTTGCGGACTGGTTGTTGTGTTTTTATTAATCAGAAGGAATTTCGAGGGTGTGTTCTAAAACATTCGTCCACAACAATTACTTAGAACAAATCATGCAAATAAAGTTGGAAAAACAAGACAAAAGTTGAATGCATAACAATAACATTAATTTATATACAATTTAAATATATACAAATGAGTTGGTGATTTGTCGTATATTGGTGTAATAAGACATGTAGTTTGTTGTTGATTATGTTTGAATGCTTAAATCAATGTTTTGATGATTTATGGTAAGAATTAAACAGTTTGCTGTTCAACGTACAAAAGTGTTTGATTTTACAGTTCAAATGTTAATGTGTATACGAGTGTTATTGTAAATATTCTTAAGTCGTACGAAGTTGCGTACCTTGAACTGTTATTTGTTGAAAGTTTTGTTTTGTTACTGTTACTAATTATGTAGTGAATATATATTCCACTTTCTCAAGTAAAGTAAATGAATTTTTTGAGAAGTTTGTTTTAAAAGAGATTGAGTAAACCATTAGGTTGTTGAGTCAGGTTAATTCGCGCGGAAAAGTCAAAGTTTAAATTGGCGTGGAATTGGTTGTCATCTCTCCGAGTGTGGAGTCCTGACATTATTTATTGTACTAAGGTACAAATGTGGCACAAAGGCCGAAAAAGGGGTTGGGGTAAAAGGACGGTCATCACTTGTCTTAGATTAAAAACTTATTAGCCACATCCACTGACCCTATCATACTGAACAATATTCCTTTCACCAAAACAACACATTTAACCATACCTTCCATACTACATACACCAAAATGAGTGTGAAGTCCTGACTGGTGAATTGGACTGAATTTCGTCCTTTTATTTAGTTTGGGAAACCAAAGTAGGCCCCCAGTGTCCTGGCGCGAAAACAGATTTTTTGACCATGGATACACATGGGTCGTCTCGACCAATCACAAGCCGAGTTTCACAATGTGTGGTGTTGATTGGTCAAAGCTAATTCTTATAGAAGAGTCTATTTTTAACGAAGGTGAGTAGACAAACATTGACGATTCTATAATAGCCTATATTTCAATTAATAGAAGTAAAATGTTACTTACCGTCAGTAAAATTATTTTTCTATATCAAGTACATTTATATTACGATTTTTAAAATTTTTTTTATATTTAAATATTTTTTAAGTAAATTTTTTTTTTTTTATCTTGTTTTTACGGCAAAAATAGCTACTTCATTTCTCTATTTTAGTAAACTGAAACATTATTTATTTATTTAATTATAATTTAAAAGAAGTTTAGTTTAACATTCATTTTAATTAACTACAATTTTAATTACAACTTTAAAATATTTTCATTATTAGTTTTTTTAGACTATATTTCATTTAAAGTAAAATGTATCCGAGTTCTATACCGTCAGTAAAATTATTTTTCTATATCAAGTATATTATTTATATTACGATTTTTTAATAAATTTTATATTATTTTTTAATATAAAATTTATTAAAAAATCGTAATTAAAAAATGAATTTTATATTATTTTTTAATATAAAATTTATTAAAAAATCGTAATTAAAACTAATTCTAACCTAAACTTCTTTTAATTTGTAATTAAATAAATAAATAAAGTCTACTAAATCGGAGTAATGAAAAATTTTATTTTAGTAATATTTAAATATAAAATTAAAAAAAAATCGTAATTTTAAATATACGGAAAAAAAAAAAAAAAAAAAAAGGCCGTAAGAATTTTAGCCGTTAACAATATAATTTTTAAAAATCTAGACGACAGGCTTTAACGGAAGTTAGATTTCATTGAAAAATGCATCCCTTCCCACGACCCAAATGTAGCAATAACTGATACATTAAATTATAGACATATTGAAAACCCAGCCACCGCTGTCTAGAAAAATAGATTTATCTGTAACCTTGAAACATGAATTTTGTTTTTAGCTGTGTATTTAAACCCAGTAATTTTAAAAGTTACTCCAAAATTCGCTTGAGGATGAAATGGAACTAATGTCTTTAATTTAATCACAAAATTAAATTCGTGGCTTTTAGCTTCCATTTTTGAAACATGGTTAGAACTGTGAATCATTAAAAAAAAAACATATTTTAAATCAATTAATTTATAATATTAATGCTCTGTAAATTTACATTGAGCACTATTTTGTAAAAATAAAAATATCTATAAGATCACCGGATTATATATCTTGCTGTTCTATATTTTTTGTTTATACATATATATATATATATATATATATATATATATATATATATATATATATATATATGTATGTATATATATATATATATATATATATATATATATATATATATATATATATATATATATATATATATATATATATATATATATATATATATATATATATATATATATATATATATATATATATATATATATATATGTATATATATATATATATATATATATATATATATATATATATATATATATATATATATATATATATATATATATATATATATATATATATATAATGTATACATACATATATATATATATAGATATATACAGACACACACACACACACATACACCAGATGCGTAAATTGTTGCCATTTCATATATTTTGTACATGCACATAGTGATTTTTTTTTTAATTTTGTCAACTGCACATTATAGTAAGATCAGTTTTGCACCATCTCTGAGAAAAAGATCACCATAATCCAATTCACTCAACTAGAAATTTGGAAATGGCATGTTGTACTGCTTGGCATTCATGCCAGAAGCTCCAATATGGACATTTCAGA